CAGTTCTCACGCCCTGCTCCTTGGCTCAAGGGCACCATTCGGGTTTTAGCACAAAACCTGAAATTCTGTGGGCACCTCCATCCCAAACCTCACCCTCCTCTTCTGCCCCAAACCAGACCCTCTTCCTGCACCCCAAACCTCACCCTCCTCCGCCTGCAACTCTCTTTGCCTCCAGGCCGCCTGTTTCTGCTTCTCCACAGCTTCCTCTGCTGAAGCCCACAGGACACCTCCTCCAGGTAGCAACCCAGATTGCCCCTTCTCCAGAACCCATCATCTTAGTGTCTCCTTTGTGTCAGGACTTGTACTGAGCACCCATCTTAGGCATCATCTTTTTTTTTTTTTTTTTTGAGGTGGAGTCTCACTGTGATGCCCAGGCTGGATGCAGTGGCACAATTTTTGCTCACTGCATCCTCCATCTTCACGGGTTGGAGTGATTCTCCTGCCTCAGCCTCCCGAGTAACTGGGACTACAGACGCATGCCCCCATGCCCAGCTAATTTTTTTTTGTTTTTTGAGCTGAAGTCTCACTCTGTCGCCCAGGCTGGATGCAGTGGCGCGATCTCGGCTCACCACAACCTCTGTCTCCCGGGTTCAAGCGATTCTCCTGCCTCAGCCTCTCGAGTATCTGGGACTACAGGCATGTGGCACCATGTGCCCAGCTAATTTTTGTTTTAGTAGAGATGGGGGTTTCACCATGTTGGCCAGGCTAGTCTCGAACTCCTGACCTCGTGATCCGCCCGCCTCGGCCTCCCAAAGTGCTGGGATGACAGGCGTGAGTCACCACGTTTAGCAAACATCGTCTTTTGTAGTTGAGGAAAGGAAGGCTCACCTGAGGCTGCAGGGACCTCGAAAGCTTGAGCTTCTCCTGACTCCTAGAAACAGCACTGTCAGCCATGTGTGGTGCCTCACACCTGTCACCCCAGCACTTTGGGAAGCTGAGGCGGGTGGATCGCTTCAGGTCAGGAGTTTGAGACTGACCTGGCCGATGTGGTGAAACCTGTCTCTACTAAAAATACAAAAATTAGCCAGCATGGTGGTGGGCACCAGTAACCCCAGCTAACTGGGAGGCTGAGGCAGGAGAATCACTGCCACCAAGGCTACTATTTAGATCTGCTGCCTTTACACCAACAAGTACAACTTTTTTTTTTCTTTTTTTAAGATGGGTTTCACCATATTGGTCAGGCTGGTCTCAAACTCTTGACCTCAGGTGATCCACCCACCTCAGCCTCCCAAAGTTTTGAGATTACAGGCGTCAGCCATCGCACCCGGCGCAACTTTTTTTTCTTTTTTTGAGACGGAGTTTCGCTCTTGTTGCCCAGGCTGAAGTGCAATGGCACGATTTCGGCTCACCGCAACCTCTGCCTCCCGGGTTCAAGCGATTCTCCTGCCTCAGCCTCCCGAGTAGCTGGGACTACAGGAATGCGCCACCATGCCCGGCTATTTTTGTATTTTTAGTAGAGATTGGGTTTCTCCCTGTTGATCAGGCTGGTCTTGAACTCCCCACCTCAGGCGATCCGCCTGCCTCGGCCTCCCAAAGTGCCGGGATGACAGGTGTGAGACACCACACCCAACCCCTCAATGCACCTCTAGAAAGAAAACCACAGCCCCTCCCTGAACTGGAAAGCGGCATTCCACAGCGTGAAGGGGAGAGACCGTGGGGAACGAGGTTCAAATGAACACACGCAACGTGTCACGCCATCTTCCCTGCATATCAAATGTCAGAAACTAAAATAGGGAAAACACGAAAGATCGGGCGGGATTGGCAGATCAATCCCACGCAGACAGAGCTGAGCTTTCGTCCCAAAGCACGACGCACAGAGGGACCCACCTGCACGGCTCAGCGTGGGCCTTCCCTTCCCCCACCCGGAACCCTCAGCCCAGGCCTCGCTGTCTCCCGCTGTGGCCAGAGGTCCGCGTCCTTCCTGCAGCCCAGAGTCCGCTATACCGCAGGTGCCTAATCAACACTGGATGAGCAAACCCCACTCACCCCAGCTGCTCAGACGGGGGACGCGGGGGTTGGGTTCGTGGTGGAATGCAGACTGGCCCCAAGGGCCAGGCAGGTCCACACCCTGCAAGCTGTGGCTCCCAGGGAGGGCGGGTACGGGAGTGTTTGCCTAATGAGTGGACGGTTGTTTACACAGCAGGATTTACAACCCACAACAGACGTCAACTCTGGGAGAAACAGAGCCATCCACCCAGTCTCGGGCAGGTGGTGGGTCTCCCGGTGGGGTGCAGTGGGGTGTGAGGGCACCCCATTCTCCCCTGATCATTCCACCCTGATGATTCACCAAAGCCAGGTGGGGCCCGGGGCCTGGCTCTTGGGCTCAAGGCCACTGGATCCACTCCCCTGCTGTCCTGGGCCTCAGTGCCCTGCCCCCCGGAGAGTGGGCAGAGCCTGCAGATTCAGCTACTACACCCGAGGGGCTGAGATGCCACTGGGCACCCTGCGCCTGGTATACAGTAGGTGCTCAATGAATGGTCTCTTGGTGGTTATGCTGGTTGCTGATATTACATTTTTTTATTTTTTGGAGATGGAGTCTTACTCTGTCACCCAGGCTGGAGTGCAATGGCGCGATCTCGGCTCACGGCAACCTCTGCCTCCTGGGTTCAGGCAATTCTCCTGCCTCAGCCTCCCGAGTAGCTGGGATTACAGGCATGCGCCACCATGCCCAGCTAATTTTTTGTATTTTTAGTAGAGACGGGGTTTCACCTTGTTGACCAGGATGGTCTCGATCTCTTGACTTCGTGATCCACCCGCCTTGGCCTCCCAAAGCGCTGGGATTACAGGCTTGAGCCACCGCGCCCGGCCTTTTTTTTTTTTTTTTTTTTTGAGATGGAGTCGCCGTCTGTCACTCAGGCTGGAGTGCAGTGGTGCCATCTCGGCTCACTGCATTTCCACCTCCTCAGTTCAAGCGATTCTCCTGCATCAGCCTCCCGAGTGGCTGGGACGACAGGGGTCCCCCGACACGCCCGGCTAATTTCGGTATTTTCAGTAGAGACGAGGTGTCACCATGTCGGCCAGGCTGGTTTCCAACGTCTGACTTCAGGTGATCCGTCCGCCTCGGCCTCCCCGAGTGCTATGATGACAGGCGTGAGCCCCCGAGGCCGGCCGCTGATACACGTACATGGTCCCAGCAACTTGGGAGGCTGAGGCCGGAGAGTCACTTGAACCCGGGAGGTGGAGGTTGCGGTGAGCCGAGATCGCGCCACTGCTCTCCACCGAGGATCTCAGGACCTCACAGCAGGCGTCCTCTGCTGGAAAGCCCATGGGGAGTGATGGCGGCCCTCACGGGAAAAGCCCCAGGGAGGAAGATGGCCCCTGCAAGGCCTCACAGTGGTAAGGACCTCACCCCTGCACGGCCCCTCGGTGGCGAGGACCTCGGCACCCTGTCGCCTCTGTAACGTCTGGGAGCCATTTTTTTTTTTTTTTTGAGACGGAGTTTCGCTCTTGTTAACCCAGGCTGGAGTGCAATGGCGCGATCTCGGCTCACCGCAACCTCCGCCTCCTGGGTTCAGGCAATTCTCCTGCCTCAGCCTCCCGAGTAGCTGGGATTACAGGCACGCGCCGCCATGCCCAGCTAGTTTTTTGTATTTTTAGTAGAGACGGGGTTTCACCATGTTGACCAGGATGGTCTCGATCTCTCGACCTCGTGATTCACCCGCCTCGGCCTCCCAAAGTGCTGGGATTACAGGCTTGAGCCACCGTGCCCGGCTGGGAGCCATTTTTTTTTTTTTTTTTTTTTTTGAGACGGAGTTTCGCTCTTGTTAACCCAGGCTGGAGTGCAATGGCACGATCTCGGCTCACCACAACCTCCGCCTCCTGGGTTCAGGCAATTCTCCTGCCTCAGCCTCCTGAGTAGCTGGGATTACAGGCACGCGCCACCATGCCCAGCTAATTTTTTTGTATTTTTAGTAGAGACGGGGTTTCACCATGTTGACCAGGATGGTCTCGATCTCTCGACCTCGTGATTCACCCGCCTTGGCCTCCCAAAGTGCTGGGATTACAGGCTTGAGCCACCGTGCCCGGCTGGGAGCCATTTTTGTCTGGGGTTTTCGGGAGAGGGAGCCGAAACCCACAGAGAACCTGCCCGTCAGAGGCCACACAGCAATGACAGAACCAGTGTTCCAGGCCAGTTTTCAGACTTTGCTCCAAATCACCTCCTCCTCCAGGAAGCCCCCTGGGTTGCTCCTCCTGGCCCCACCCTGTGCCCTGTGGATGTCAGAATGAAACTGGGTTTATGGGCCCTGGGGCCTCACACCTGTTTCCTCATCAGCCGGGTGACCTCCATCCAAGGGGCAAAGGCTCCCTGCGGGGGTCAGGCCTCAGGAGGGGCCGTGCCTCTTCCTCATCCCTCTGGGCTGCAATCATTTTTGAGTCATCCCAGCACCTTGGGGCCCCGGGGCCGAGTTCCGTCCGCAGACACCGGGCCAAGTCCCTGCTGGCCACACGGGAACCCAGGCTAGAACCTCGCCGCACCCCAGAACCCAGGCCGAGCCTCCAGCCCCCGGCCTGAGGCTGCTTCCACCTGGATTCAGCCACCCCTCCTCCGAGTCCCCAGACCAGCCCCCCGGGGGGGGGGGTGTTTACTGCCCAGAGCCTCCAGTCAGGGGCCTGGTGGGGTGAATAAGCTTCTCTCCAGAAGCCTCTGGAATTCCCCCAATCACGGAGGGGCCGTTCTGGCCTCTGGCCATGGGGGTGCCAACCCGGCCTCTCCCTCAGACGGGTCTGTGATTTAGGGTTCAACGCTTGGTGTAGAAACAAGCCCCTGCAGAGTTCAGGGACAAGGGCCTTGCTCTCCCGCTGGGTCCCCTTGAGGCCCGGGAGTGCATGGGGGACCCGAGGGAGTCCCTGAGGGCAATGGCAGGGGGCAGGAGACCTCCCTGCACCCAAGTGCTCCCAGGTAAGCAGACCCCGCCCACAGGCGACACCCCCACGCAAATGTGGACCCAACGCTACACGGGACCCCGGCCCAGCATAGCCCAGGGCGCCCCCAGCCTCACCCGCCAGCTCCTGGCCCCGAAGCCTGCGGCCTCAGCTCTGGCTCCTCGATGGGACAGAGGCCTCTGAGCTCCGCCCCGCCTGCCAGGTTGCCGGGGGACAGAGGCCCCACCCAGGGGAAGCAGGTGTGCCCCCTCCTCCCCAGCCCCACCTGGGCTTGGCTCAGGAAACAAAGTCCAGAGGAGAAGGGAGAAAGATGATACCAGGCTGAGTGAGGGTGGGCACAGTGCCCGCTGTGGGCTGCCCCTCCACTCCCAGGGCCTCCACACAGCCCCAAGGAGCTGGAACTCAGCCGAAATCACCCTCAGTGGCCGGCTCTCCTGCTGCCCCTCAGCCCCGCTCAGAGAGGGACAGCGTGTGCCCAGGGTCACATAGCAGCTCAGCGGCCACAGCGGCCTGTGTGTCCCAGGGGCTCAGAGGGGCTGAGTCCCAATCCTGTCTGTGCCTCCTGCCCCAGCCCCCCCCGAGGGCAACTCCCCTAGTTGGCCGCTTTCTTGCATAAAGCAGGCTTGGGAGATTGTGGGGGTTCGGTGTGGCCTGGGTTCTCATCCCACCTGACCTCTCTGAGCCCCATTTCCTCCTCCGGGACGTGGGGGAACATCATGCCCAAGCTCCCTCAGGGCTGCTGGGGAGAATTCCCCAGGCCCCATCCACATAACCCTACAAGGGGGCCGGGCGCGGTGGCTCACCCCTGTAATTCCAGCACTTTGAAATTCTGAGATGGGCAGATCATTTGGGGCCAAGAGTTTGAGACCAGCCTGGCCACCATGGCGAAACCCCATGTCTCCTAAAAATAGAAAAATTAGCTGGTTGCGTTGGCAAACGCCTGTAATCCCAGCTACTCGGGAGGCTGAGGAAGGAGAATCGTTTGAACCCAGGAGGCGGAGGCTGCAGTGAGCTGAGATCTCGCCATTGCACTCCAGCCTGGGCGACGAGCAAAACTCCAACTCAGAAGAGAAAAAAAAAAAAACTGCAACAAGGTCAAAAGACCCAGCCCCCCCGGAAAGATGGGGACACGGAGGTCCTCAGGCGCCCATGGTCCTCCTGGGTTTTTGGCCAAGGCGCAGAGGCCCTGCTGGGACTGTGGGTAGCGGCATCTGTGGGGAAGCAGGGCCACTGGCCTAGCGCCGTCTATGAGGGCGAGGAACACAGCAGAGGGGGCTTCAGTTCCCCAGGCTGGGGCTCTGTCCTGACCTACCCTTTGGCTCCTTGTGGAACCCCTCTGAACCTCAGTCTCTTTTTCCAGTCAAAAGGCTCCCAGCTCTGAATCCTGCCATCTGGCAGAGCTGCTCAGGATGGGTTTTTTTTTTTTAAGACTCTGTCACCCAGGCTGAAGTGCAATAGCCACATCTCAGCTCACTGCAGCCTCTACCTCCTGGGTTTAAGCAATTCTCCTGCCTCAGCCTCCCGAGTAGCTGGGATTACAGGCACACACCACCATGCCCAGCTAATTTTTTGTATTTTCAGTAGAGACGGGGTTTCACCATGTTGACCAGGATGGTCTCGATCTCTTGACCTCGTGATCCAGCCGCCTCGGCCTCCCAAAGTGCTGGGATTACAGGTGTGAGCCACCGCGCCTGGCCAGGGGACCCTTCTGTTAACACCCAGGGGCTGTGAGCCCCACAAACGTAGGAACCAGAGCAGGGTGGGGTGAGTGCAGAACCCAGGGGCCCCCCAGGAAGCCAGCCCTGCCCCCCACAGCTGCCCCTTACCTCCAGGCCTTACCTGCACGACGCGGATTCCACCAGCGCCTCCCACCACCCCACTGCGCCCACGGTGAGCCCGGCAGGTGAACAGGTACAGGCAGGTGAAGCCAGCTCTCCTGAACCCCCGCTCAGCCTCCCTTTTATGGCTCCAAGGCCTGCAGGCCCCACCCCCTGGTCTGGCCACGCCTTCCTCGCCAGGTTGAAAGCCAAGAACTCCGGGAACTGGGGCTGTTCACGCTGTTTATTCGCTTCTCTGGGAAAATCAAGAACATCGGGGGCCTCGTCACACACCAAAAGCGGAGGGGCAGCAAGGGCACTTCAGCGAAGGCTCGCGGCTCGAGGGACTCGGGCGGACTCGAGGGAGGAGGAGGGGGTTCCGCGGCTGACGCCCAGGTCACCCCTGAGAGGGCCTCTCCTCCCGGCCACCCAGGGGCAGAGCGGAGGCAGGGACCCAGGCTCGCCTCCGAGGTGGCCCCGTACCTGCCCTGCTGAGGCTGCAGGTGGTGACTGGACCAAGAGGTGGCCTGAGCGCGGGCACCAGGCTGGAGCCTGGTTGTCCGAAGCCAACGCGTGAGAAGGTGTCTGTGAGAATGTGCACGAATGAGCCTCTGGGGACGAGTGTGGCTGCCCCCAGGAGGGAAGCCCCTTGCCAATTCCAGTGAGAGGGGACTGGGGGCAGGCTCACATTGGTCTGGGTGGCAAATGAGGGTCTCCTGCTCCAACCCAAGAGGAGACTTCCTGTCCCAGGCCATGTCCCTCCCTCCACTGCCCGGACATGCTCCAAGCCCAGTAGAGCTGGCAGATGGGGCCTGATCTCTGGGATTTGGTTGGGAAGACCCAGGACCCTGGTCCAAGCAGGTTGGAGTAGAGGCCGGGGGCGGCCCCTAGGGTCCCCAAATTAGCACCAGGAGGAAGGAGGGCCCAGTGGGGGTGGGAGCTCAGGGCAAGGAGTGGCTCACTCGGTCCCTGCCCTGTGCAGGGGGCACATCGATGACCCCTGGTTCACCCCATCTAGAAGACAGCCCGGGGGTTACAGGCCCCTCCCGAGTGGGGGGATGACCCCAGGGTTACCCCTCCCCCAGACTCCACTGTCCACTGGTTGGGCCCATAGAGGGCATGGGGGGGCACAACAGGCTGGGGGTGCCAGAGGGGCTCTTCCTCCACCCAAGACCTTGAGCCCCAAAAGAGGCACGGCCTCACCCCAACTGCCTGAGATTGGGGGGCCAGCGCCTTTGCTGGGAAACCCCATGGAGCCCCTTCTGGGGCCTGAGCAGGCCCCAGTGCCCCCCAGCTCCCGGGGCCCTCTCTGGCGGGTTGTCCCCTCAGAGAAAGGCACAGGAGGGAGGCCCAGAGAGTGGCAGGCTGGCCTAGGCCACGTGGAGGCCACGGGTTCCACCAGCCAGGACCTCGGTGGGCGCGAGCCGCGTCTGCGAAGCTGCCGTGACGTGGGGGGGCCTCTTTTCGGGAAAAGCGGGTCTGCCCTGTCCTCTCCTACCAGACGCAGGTGCACGGCTCTGGTTCGGGGGGAGTGTTGGGGCGTGGTGACAGGTGGGGGCCCCTGTCCCTCTTTCCAGTGAAAGAAAACTCGGAAGGAACATGGAACAACTCTCCAGGTCCTGGACTGTGGGTGGAGGGTGGGCAGGCGCCGGGAGGGGCCGGGCTGGTGGGTGTCTGTGGTGGGGGTGGGGGCCGGGGTCTCAGGGGCCGGGCCGGCTCACATGATGGAGCAGCATTTACAGCGCTGTTTCTTCATGTCGAGGTCCTGGGGGTCGCTGGTGGTGGCCTTGGGCCCCGCCTGGTTCTCCTCCCTGGTGCCAGCCTCTGTGGGAGGCTCGGCGGCACTGCCGTTGGGCGGGGCGGGCTCCTTGGGCTCCGCGGCGTCTTCGATGACCACCAGCTCCGCCGTGATGGTGTCTTGAAGGCCCAGCACCTTCTTGGTCTCTGCCTCGTCCTCCACGTTCTGGTAACCCATGAAGATCATGGTGACCGGGGGCTCCTGGCCCGGCTGGATCCCCGGCGGGCCCGACGTGGCCTCCCCTGGCTGTGCCTGCACGCCGGTGATCTCACGGCGGGAGGGTGTGGTCCGGACCACCTCCTCCACGGCCCCCCGGGTCTCTGCGGCCCCTGCCATGGACCCCGCCTCGCTCAGCGTGACCTCGTCCGCTTTGTGGATGAGTTCGTCCACCTCAGAGGAGCTCAGCGGGTGGATTCCATTCTCGGCGGTGCCGTCCACAGCATGGACCACTGTACGAGGAGAGACAGAGAGAGTGACCTGGCTGGAGGCAGGAGGGACAGAGGGAGTGACATGGCTGCAGGCGGGAGGGACAGAGAGAGTGACCTGGCTGCAGGCGGGAGGGAATCCTGGGGAAAGCTCGTCACCTCCTTGAGGTCAAAGAGGAAATGATGAACTAGATTTCTTTTTTTTTTTTTTTTGAGACGGAGTTTCGCTCTTGTTGCCCAGGCTGGAGTGCAATGGCGCGATCTCGGCTCACCGCAACCTCCGCCTCCTGGGCTCAGGCAATTCTCCTGCCTCAGCCTCCTGAGTAGCTGGGATTACAGGCACGCGCCACCACGCCCAGCTAGTTTTTTGTATTTTTAGTAGAGACGGGGTTTCACCATGTTGACTACAATGGTCTCCATCTCTCGACCTTGTGATCCACCCGCCTCAGCCTCCCAAAGTGCTGGGATTACAGGCTTGAGCCACCGCGCCCGGCCTAGATTTCTTTTTCTTTTTTTTTTTTCTTTTTTTTTTTTTTGAGACGGAGTTTCGCTCTTGTTACCCAGGCTGGAGTGCAATGGCGCGATCTCGGCTCACCACAACCTCCGCCTCCTGGGTTCAGGCAATTCTCCTGCCTCAGCCTCCTGAGTAGCTGGGATTACAGGCACACGCCACCATGCCCAGCTGATTTTTTGTATTTTTAGTAGAGACGGGGTTTCACCATGTCGACCAGGATGGTCTCGAACTCTCGACCTCGTGATCCACCCGCCTCGGCCTCCCAAAGTGCTGGGATTACAGGCTTGAGCCACCGCGCCCGGCTTCTTTTTCTTTTTTATAAAGACAGGGTTTCAGCTGCGCACAGTGGCTCAGGCCTGTAATCCCAGCACTTTGGGAGGCTGAGGTGGGTGGATCACCTGAGGTCAGGAGTTCAAGACCAGCCTGGCCATCATGGTGAAACCCCATCTTTATTTATTTATTTATTTTGAGACAGTTTCGTTCTTGTTACCCAGGCTGGAGTGCAATGGTGCGATCTTGGCTCTCCGCAACCTCTGCCTCCTGGGTTCAGGCAATTCTCCTGCCTCAGCCTCCTGAGTAGCTGGGATTACAGGCACGCGCCACCATGCCCAGCTAATTTTTTTGTATTTTTAGTAGAGACGGGGTTTCACCATGTTGACCAGGATGGTCTCGATCTCTTGACCTCGTGATCCACCTGCCTCAGCCTCCCAAAGTGCTGGGATTACAGGCGTGAGCCACCGCGCCCGGTCGGGATTTTTTTTTTTTTTTTTTTCTTTTTTTCTGAGACAGAATTGCCCAGGCTGGAGTGCAATGGCGCGATCTCGGCTCGCTGCAACCTCTGCCTCCCTAGTTTGAGCCATTCTCGTCCTCCGTCTCCTGAGTAGCTGGGATTACAGGACGGCACCAACGTGCCTGGTAATTTTCTGTATTTTTTGGTAGGAATGGGGTTTCACTGTGTTGGCCAGGCTGGTCTTAAACTCCTGACCTCAAGTGATCTGCTCACCTCGACCTCCAAAAGTGCCGAGATTACAGGTGTGAGTCACCACGCCCGGTCACAAATTGGAATTTTATGCTCTCCCATTTTGAAGTACAGTTGACCCTTGGACCACGTGAGATTGAACATTCGGGTCACTTATATGTGGATTTTCTTTTACCTCTGCCCTCCCAGAGACAGCAAAACCAACCCTCCTCCTCCTCCTCCACCTACTCAGCATGAACAAGACAGGACAAAGACCTTTAGGATGAGCCACTTCCTCTTAATGAATAGTAAATATATTTTCTCTTCCTTTTCCTGTCTTTTTTCTTTTTCTTTTTTCTTGTAACCAAGGCTGCAGTGGGTACAGCAGTGAGATATCAGCTCACTGCAGTTTCCGCCTCCCAGGTTCAAGCAATTCTCCTGCCTCAGCCTCCCAGGTAGCTGGGATCACAGGTGCCTGTTTTTTTCTTTGAGACAGAGTTTCGCTCTTGTTACCCAGGCTGGAGTGCAATGGCGCGATCTTGGCTCACCGCAACCTCCGCCTCCTGGGTTCAGGCAATTCTCCTGCCTCAGCCTCCTGAGTAGCTGGGATTACAGGCACGCGCCACCATGCCCAGCTAATTTTCTGTATTTTTAGTAGAGACGGGGTTTCACCATGTTGACCAGGATGGTCTCGATCTCTTGACCTCGTGATCCACCCGCCTCGGCCTCCCGAAGTGCTGGGATTACAGGCGTGAGCCACCGCGCCCGGTCTTGTTTTTTATATTTTTAGTAGAGTCAGTGTTTCACCATGTTGGCCTGGCCGGTCTCGAACTCCTGACCTCAGGTCATTATCATCCCCCCACCTCAGCCTTCCAAAGTGCTGGGATTACAGGCGTGAGCCACCGCGCCTGGCCACGGGTGCCCAATTTTTGTATTTTCAGTAGAGACGGGGTTGATATTTATGGTTTCAGTAGAGGGGGGTTTCACCACGTTGGCCTTGCTCATCTTGAACTCCTGACCTCAGGTCATCTTCCCACCTCGGCCTCCCAAAGTGCTGGGATTACAGGCGTGAGCCACCGCATTCAGAATCTTTCCTCTTTATTTTTGACACAGTGTCACACTTTGCTGCCTGGGCTGGAGTACAGTGACGGGATCACAGCTCACTGCAGCCTCGACCTCCCAGGTTCAAGCGATCCTCCCAACTCATCCGCCAGAGCGGCTGGGACCACACGTACGGTACGTAGACCATGGCTACCACACCTGGCCATTTTTCTTTTTTCTGGAGTCTCCCAGGCTGGCCTTGAACACTTAGGTTCAAGCTCCTCCACGCTGGCCTCCCAAGGCACTGACAGGCAGGAGCCACCACACTTGGCCTTGATTTTCTTAATGAAATTTTGTTTTCTCTGACTTGCTATATTGTAAGAATATATTATATGATTCTCATACAACAGATGTGTTAATCGACTCCCTGTGTCATCGAGAAGGCTTCCGGTCAATAGGAGAGTGGTTCAGTTTGGAAAGGGTGGCCGGGCACGGTGGCTCCCGCCTGTGATCCCAGCACTTTGGGAGGCCGAGGTGGGCTGATCACTTGAGGCCACGAGCTCAAGACCAGCCTGGACCACACGGTGAATCTCCGTCTCTTCTAAAAAAAACACAAATCACCTGGCGGGGAAGGCACACACCTGTAATCCCAGCTACTCAGGAGACTGAGGCGGGAGAATCACTTGAACCCAGGAGGCGGAGCTTGCGCTGAACTGAGATTGCGCCATTGCACTCCGGCCTGGGCAACAGAGCAAAACTCCATCTCAAAAAAAAAAAAAAGTTTTGGGAAAGTGAAAAGTTATCCGTGGTTTTTCATTTGTTTGTTTGTTTTTTTTTTTGAGACAGAGTTTCGCTCTTGTTACCCAGGCTGGAGTGCAATGGCGCGATCTCGGCTCACCGCAACCTCCGCCTCCTGGGTTCAGGCAATTCTCCTGCCTCAGCCTTCTGAGTAGCTGGGATTACAGGCACACGCCACCAAGGCCAGCTATTTTTTTTGTATTTTTTTAGTAGAGACGGAGTTTCACCATGTTGACCAGGATGGTCTCGATCTCTTGACCTCGTGATCCACCCGCCTCGGCCTCCTAAAGTGCTTGGATTACAGGCTTGAGCCATCGCGCCCGGCCTATCTGTGGTTTTTCAACAGTGCAGGGTCGGTGCCCCTAATACCTGTGCTCTTCAAGTGTTAACTCTAATTCCTTTTTTTTTTTTTTTTTTTGGTGAGGGAGTCTCACTGTCACCCAGGCCGGAGTGCAATGGCTCCATCTTGGCTCACTGCAACCTCCGCCTCCCGGGTTGAAGTGAATCTCCTGCCTCAGCCTCTTAAATAGCTGGGATTACAGGTGTGCACCACCACGTCCAACTAATATCTCCTATTTTTAATAGAGACAGATTTTTGCCATGTTGGTCAGGCTGATCGTGAACTCCTGACCTCACGTGATCTGCCCACCTCAGCCTCCCAAAATGCTGGGATTACCGGCAGGAGCCACTGCACCCGGCCTGTAATTCCATATATTTTAGCCAACTGGCTCCCAAGCGGTCACCCTGAAAAGTCGGTTTTCTTTCCCATGTAAAGACAGCAAAAACGAAAGTTCAAAGAAGGAAGCAACTGGTCCAGGGTCATATATCTGGGCAGGGCTAAATCCCCGCTGTGTCCCCGAGTCTAGGTTTGTTTCTCTTATACAAGATAGGACCACCCACCCTGGGGAACTGGAGGTCAGATGTTACAGGGATTCTGATAGTTTCCATTTTCGAGTGTATTCGATTGATCTTTTTTTTTTTTCTTTTTTTTTTTGAGACGGAGTTTCGCTCTTGTCACCCAGGCTGGAGTGCAATGGCGTGATCTCAGCTCACCGCAACCTCTGCCTCCTGGTTCAGGCAATTCTCCTGCCTCAGCCTCCTGAGTAGCTGGGATTACAGGCCCGCGCCACCATGCCCAGCTAATTTTTTTTTTTTTTTTTTTTTTTTGAGATGGAGTTTCGCTCTTGTTACCCAGGCTGGAGTGCAATGGCGCAATCTCGGCTCACCACAACCTCCGCCTCCTGGGTTCAGGCAATTCTCCTGCCTCAGCCTCCTGAGTAGCTGGGATTACAGGCTTGAGCCACCGCGCCCGGCTTTTTTTTTTTTTAAGTAGAGACGGGGTTTCACCATGCTGACCAGGATGGTCTCGATCTCTTGACCTTGTGATCCACCCGCCTTGGCCTCCCAAAGTGCTGGGATTACAGGCTTGAGCCACCGAGCCCAGCCTGATTGATCTTAAATTAACATTTTCATTCATTTTAACTTTAAGTTTCATTCTTTTTTTGTTTTCTAGGAAGTGCCCTAAAGACTATGCATTTTCCTCTGAGTTCTGCTTTGGCTGCATCCCACAGACTAGATTATGTTATTCGCTTTCAAGTATATTTTTCTTTTTTGTTTTTTTGTTTTTGAGAAGAAGTCTTTCTTTCTTTTTTTTTTTTTTTCTGAGACAGTTTCGCTCTTGTTACCCTGGCTGGAGTGCAATGGCGCGATCTCGGCTCACCACAACCTCCGCCTCCTGGGTTCAGGCAATTCTCCTGCCTTAGCCTCCTGAGTAGCTGGGATTACAGGCACGTGCCACCATGCCCAGCTAATTTTTTGTATTTTTAGTAGAGATGGGGTTTCACCATGTTGACCAGGATGGTCTCGATCTCTTGACCTCGTGATCCACCCACCTTGGCCTCCCAAAGTGCTGGGATTACAGGCTTGAGCCACCGCGCCCAGCGTGAGAAGAAGTCTTTCTCTGCCACTAGGCTGGAGTGCAGTGGCACTATCTCGGCTCACTGCAACCTCTGCCTCCCAGGTTCAAGTGATTCTCCTGCCTCAGTCTCTCCAGTAGCTGGGACTACAGGTGTGTACCACCATGCCTGGCTAATTTTTTGTATTTTTAGTAGAGACTGGGTTTCACCATGTTAGCCAGAACCGTCTCGATCTCCTGACCTCATGATCCACCTGCCTCAGCCTCCCAGAGTACTGGGATTACAGGTGTGAGCCACTGTTCCTGGCTCAGAAAGGTGTTTTTAAAATTCCTAGAGGAACACAGAGCAGAAGACATAAGCTTTTAACAGTCCCAAAACCTCCTTGGCAGCCTGGGTCGTAGTGCTCACTTTCTGCCAATGTTCTGTGTTTGACTTCTCCACTGGGACGCATTTTTGTTTTGTTTTGTTTTGTTTTGTTTTGTTTGAGACGGAGTTTTGCTCTTGTTAACCAGGCTGGAGTGCAATGGCAGGATCCTGGCTTGCCGCAACCTCCGCCTCCTGGGTTCAGGCAATTCTCCTGTCTCAGCCTCCAGAGTAGCTGGGATTACAGGCACACGCCACCACACCCAGCTAATGTTTTGTATTTTTAGTAGAGACGGGGTTTCACCATGTTGACCGGGATGGTCTCAATCTCTTGACCTCGTGATCCATCCACCTCGGCCTCCCAAAGTGCTGGGATTACAGGCTTGAGCCACCGCGCCCGGCCTTGGGGACGCGTTTTAAACATATAATCAGTTTTGCTGTGTTTCCCAAGACTTTCCAAAGTTCCTTATCTGTGTCTTTCTGACTTGTCATTTTCTGAGCTGCGCCAGACTCTCCAAGAGGACCGGATCTCGGCACCCCAGGACTCCCAGCTGTGGTCTGAAGCCAGCCCTAGATCACAGCCCTGCAAATTCCTTCTAGAAATACAGCTGCCTGTGCCACGCTGAGAGTTGGTAAGGACACAGTGGGGGCCCAGGGACTCGCCTCCTCTGGGCCAAGGGTCAGGGCTCCTGTTCCTGGCTCTAAGGCCAGAAGGAAAGTGCTCTCTACTTTCAGTTTCTAAACCCCCAGGGAGGGGAGTCCATGCTTCAAGGCCTCTCGGTGACTTTGGGCTGGAGGCCCGGAGGGTGGGGTGTGTCTGGATCCTGCAGAATTGAATTCAGTGTCTCACTGACCACTGCCCCGAGACAGGAATGGGAGCCCTGGGCTGCCATGGAAACGGATTACCTTCCCGTTGCTAAGCAACCAGTGTCCAGCCCGGCAAGTCTGGAATCCCCTGGGGCCAGGTGAGGCTGCAGAGGGTGGAGTGGGGTGTGGGGGAGGGGAAGACGAGGCACGGGGACTCCCAGGCCCACATGGCTGGGGAGAGCTGGAGCTGAGATGCCACCAGCACCGCACCCCAAATCCCCCCCACCAAGGGAGCTGGGCTGTGGGGACCCCTCTGATAGCATCTGGGGCACTGCAGAGGCCCAAGCTGAGAACGGAAGGCTTTGGGACTCAACACCACAGGGAGGCCCCAGTTCACAGCAGCAGCAGAGCAAAGGGAAGGGGCCGCAGGCGCCGTGAGGACGTGGGCGAATCCGGTCCTTGTCCAAGAGCCGTGGGAAGGGCACGGCACAGCTGCCGTGGAAAATGGCAGGCCCTCCCTGAGCTCCAGTCACCGCAGGACCCAGCAGTTCGCTCGGAGGTGCACACCCAGAGGCCTCAAAAGCAGGGGCGTGAACAAATATTTGCACACAAATCTCCCCAGCACTGTAGGCACAGAACCCCGAATGTCTACAGATGGAAGGAGGGGTAAGCTCAACGTGGTCCACCCAGCCCGTGGAATAGTATTCAGCCATGAAAAAGAGCAAGGCTCCGACCCAGGCCACATTGCAGATGTACCTTGACGACGTCACATCCAGTGAGAGAGGCCGGACACAAGGCCACATGCGGTGTGTGATTTTTTTTTTTTTTTTTTGAGGTGGAGTTTCTTTTCTTTTTAATTTTTTTTTTTTTTTTTAAATAGAGACTGATTTCACTGTGTTGGTCAGGCTGATCTCGAACTCCTGACCTTGTGATCCGCCTGCCTCGGCCTCCCAAAGAGCTGGGATTACAGGTGTGAGCCCCCGCGCCCGGCCTGAGGTGGAGTTTCACTCTTGTCACCCAGGCTGGAGTGCCGTGGCGTGATCTCGGCTCACTGCAACCTCTGCCCCCTGCGGGGTTCAAGTGATTCTCCTCCCTCAGCCTCGCGAGTAGCTGGGACGACAGGCATTTGCCACCATGACTGGCTCATTTTTGTATTTTTTTTTTGAGATGGAGTTTCGCTCTTGTTACCCAGGCTGGAGTGCAATGGCACGATCTCGGCTCACCGCAACCTCCGCCTCCTGGGTTCAGGCAATTCTCCTGCCTCAGCCTCCTGAGTGGCTGGGATTACAGGCACGTGCCACCATGCCCAGCTAATTTTTTGTATTTTTAGTAGAGACAGGGTTTCACCATGTTGACCAGGATGGTCTCGATCTCTCGACCTCGTGATCCACCCGCCTCGGCCTCCCCAAGTGCTGGGATTACAGGCTTGAGCCACCGCGCCCGGCCATTTTTGTATTTTTAATAGAGACGGATGATGTTGGCCAGGCTGGTCTCGAACTCCTGACCTCAGGTGATCCACCTGCCTTGGCCTCCCAGGGTGCTGGGATTACAGGCGTGAGCCCCCACGCCCTTCCTTGATCCCGTTTCTATGAAATGTCCGGGACACGCCAAGCCAGAAAGACAGAGGGGAGGCGTGGGCACTGGGGCCGGGGAGGCCTCGGGGAGTGACGGCGGATGGGGAGGGGACTGCCATCCTTTTTCTGTTTTTTTTTTTGAGACAGGGTCTTGGCCTGTTGCCCAGGCCGGAGGGCAGTGGTGCGCAGACCCAAGTGAGCCTCCCAAGAAGGCGAATTTTATGGTCAGCGAATTACACCTCACCAAGGAAAAGGGGCCGGAGCACAGCGACTCACACCTATCAGCACGTGGGGGGCCCCCCGGGCGGGAGGATCACCTGAGCCCGGGCGCTGGAGGCTGCAGGGAGCCGTGATGGGGTCACCGCTCTGCAGCCTGGCGGACAGAGGGAAACTGTTTCTCTAAAAAATAAATAAATACAAAGAAAGAGAGAGAGAGAGAGAGAGAGAGAAGGAGGGAGGGAGGGAGGGAGGGAGGGAGGGAGGGAGGGAGGGAAAGGGGGAGAGGGAGGGAGAGAGGGAGATAGAGACTGGGGGGGGCACTGACTTTGGGGCTTTTGTGCTCGGCCACCCTCCTCCCTCCCACAGCCTGTTTGCCTCCAGACCACCAGGAGTCCTTAAAACCACATCAGACCTCAGCACCCCCACAACCCAAAGCACCCAAAGCCCTCGGGACACAGCCCCGTCTGGCCCCTGGCTCTGGAGAAAGCACCCTTCCTCTCCCTGTGTGAGCCAAGCTCCCCTCGCCCCTGCAGCCCGGCTCCCCTCACCCCTCCAGCCCATCTCCCCGGACACCTCCAGCCCAGCTCCCCTCACCCCTGCAGCCCAGCTCCCCTCAGTACTGCAGCCTGGCTCCCCTTGCCCCTCCATCCCAGCTCCCCTCACCCCTGCAGCCCAGCAAATTCCATCCTACCTCAGGGCCTTTGCAGGGGCTGCGGCTCCCATGCACTGCTGCCTCCAATGAGCCCTGCTCGCCTCCTCCGGGAAGCCTCCCCTGGCCGCATCCCCGCCCCGTAAAACCCTCTCACGGTCCCCTGTATGTGCATCTTCTGTTAACTTCTATCACACTATCAATCCTTTTTTTAAAGTTTTGTATATTGTGAAGAGACAGGGTCTCACTCTGTTGCCCTGGCTGGTGCGCAGTGGGGTGATCACGGCTCGCTGCAGCCTCCACCTCCAGGGCCCAAGTGATCCTCCCATCTCAGCCTCCCACGTAGCTGGGTCCACAGGCACGCCCCACCACAGCAGGCTAATTTTTTTTTGGGTAGAGACAGGGCCTTGCTATGCTGCCCAGGCTGGTCTCAAACCTGGGCTCAAGCAATCTTCCTGCCTCAGCCTCCCAAAGTGCTGGGACTAAGTATTATTTAAATGAATCACTGCATAGCTCCGGATGGAAGGGTCAGGTCTGCCACCTGGCGAGGACAGAAGCTGAGTCACCTCCAGATCTCCCTCCAGAGCCCGGCTGGGGACCTGGCACCCAGTCCAGCTTCCCGGCAGCTTTCTGGAGTAAATGAACTACCTCGGAGCCCCGCGGTGGGCGGCAGTGGGTGAGGGCCTGGCCTGAACGGCTGCCCACTTCCCATCGAATCGGGGTCCTGACGTGTGTCAGGGCTCGGGCCCAGGCCGAGGAAGGGCAGGGGCCGGGGGCCGGTTCGTACCTTTGGTCTCGTCTTCGTAGACCTTGATGCCCTGAGGGAGCGGCTGCCGTGGGAGCAGCGTGGTGCTGGACAGCACCCGGGTCTCCCCAGTCACCTTGTCCTTCTCCACAGTGATCTCAACCGAGTACATGGCTGGCACGAGAGTCACGCGGTTACGCCACGGCCCGCCCGCCCCCTGTCCCCCGCTGGGCGGCAGCCAAGCCAGGGATGGCGGAGCCAGCAGTGCAGAGCCAAGCAGCAGTGGGGCAGGTGGAGCCGGGGATGCCGGGGCAGTGTCTGGACACGGACCTCCCCAACTCTAGACCCTGCCATAGCTCCCTAGTGCCTGGGGCGACTGGTCTGAACACCTCTGCTTGGTGGCCCAGGCCCATCCTGCTGTCCCGCCCAGGTGCTCCTCATCCCTGTCCCCTGCACGGCCACCAAACTCCTGTCTGTCAAGCTCGGGTTCCAGCCCAGCCCATCTGGAAAGCCTTAATTGTTCCCAGATCTCTTTTTTCCTTTTTTCTTTTCTTTTCTTTTTTTTTTTTTTGAGACGGAGTTTCGCTCTTGTTACCCAGGCTGGAGTGCAATGGCGCGATCTCGGCTCACCGCAGCCTCCGCCTCCTGGGTTCAGGCAATTCTCCTGCCTCAGCCTCCTGAGTAGCTGGGATTACAGGCACGAGCCACCACGCCCAGCTAATTTTTTGTATTTTTAGTAGAGACGGGGTTTCACCATGTTGACCAGAATGGTCTCGATCTCTCGACCTCGTGATCCACCTGCCTCGGCCTCCCAAAGTGCTGGGATTACAAGCTTGAGCCACCGCGCCTGGCCTCTTTTTTTGTTTTTTTAAAGACGGGGTTTCACTGTGTTGGTCAGGCTGGTCTTGAACTCCTGACCTCAGGTGATCTGCCCGCCTTGACCCCCAAAGTGCTTGGATTGAGCCACCACGCCCGGCCTATTTTTTTCGTTGTTGTTGTTCCCAGATCTCTTTCAATTTTTTTTTTTTTTTTTCAGATGGAGTCTAGCTCTGTCGTCCAAGCTGGAGTTACAGTGACCCACACCTTGGGATCTTGGCTCACCTCCCGGATTCAAGGGACTCTCCAGCCTCAGCCTCCTGTGTAGCTGGGACTACAGGCATTTGCCACCACGCCCGGCTAATTTTTGTATTTTTAGAAGAGACGGGGTTTCGCCGCGTTGGTCAGGCTGGTCTTGAACTCCTGACCTCAGGCGATACGCCTGCCTCAGCCTCCCAAAGTGCTGGGATCACAGGCCTGAGCCACTGTGCCCGGCCTATTTACTTAAATACAGACAGTGTCCCTCTGTCACTCAGGCTGGAATGTGGTGTCACCATCACAGCTCACTGCAGTCCTGACCTCCCTGGCTGAAGCTGTCCTCCCAAGTAGCTGAAACCACTGGTGTGAGCCACCACACCCGGCTAATTTATTTCTCTTTTTTGGAAACAGGGACTCCCTATGTTGCCCAGGCTGGTCTCAAACTCCTGGGCTCAAGCGATCCTCCCGCGTTGGCCTCCCAAAGCGCTAGGATTACAGACGTGAGCTCCCCTGTCATTCCTGGTTCCTCAGAGGAGCAGGCGAGTCCCAGGGAGCCCCTGCCTTGCCAGGGACCCCGGCCGAGACTGGAGCTCAGGCTGCAGACCCACAAGGCCCAGCCCGACCTCTGCCCACCCTCCCAGCTCCCAGGACCCCACGCCTCCTTCCAGCTGACCGTTGGACTCAGAGAACGAAGGAGTCCCTCCGGAGATAAATGAGTATTGCTACTTCTCAGGGCCCTAACCCCACAGCCAGCAGTACCCACCTGCTCTGCAAAAATCCCTCCCCCACAAAACCACAAGAGCCTGTATCCTAACGGTGACTGTCTGTGGTGGCTGCCTGCCACCCCAGGCCTGCGGGAAGACGCCAGACACCGGAGACCCTCCATCACCTCCCGGAGACCCCATCCTGAAGTGGGAGCTGGACATGGCTGCCAAGACTGGCCTGACCCCTGACACTGTGCCCTGGCGACGCGCGGCCTCAGGGCGTTGGCATGGGCCGTTCCCTCTTGCTGGCACCTCCTCCCACCCGGCCTCGCTGCCTTGCTGGACTCTGCTCTGTGCGGGGACCTCGCCCAGGCCCTGGGCACTAATCTCCCGCAGGCCCATCCCCTCCTGGACCTTCATTTGGACTCAACCCCTACCTATCCACGGGAGCCCGGCTCTCACATGTCCATGACCCCACTCCCGATCTGCCCCCTGCTCCTCCCACCGTTGGGGGCAGCTCAGTCCTCTCTGCCTCTCTCTCTCTCTCTCTTTTTTTGGGACGAAGTTTCGCTTTGTCGCCCAGGCTGGAGTGCAGTGGCATGACCTCAGCTCACCGCAACCTCTGCCTCCCGGGTTCAAGCGATTCCCTGGGCTCAGTCTCCCGAGCGGGCTGGGATTACAGGTGCCCCCTACCACGCCCAGCTTATTTTTGGGTTTTAGTAGAGCCGGGGTTTCACCATGTTGGCCAGGCTGGCCTCGAACTCCTGACCTCAGATGAGCTGCCCGCCTCGGCCTCCCAAAGCGCCGGGGTTACCGGCGTGAGCCACCGTGCCCAGCTAGTCCTCATAGCCTCTTATCCCCACTCCGATTTCTCCTCAAACCCTGGGGGCTCCCCCTTCAGAACACAGGGAACCTCCCACTGCTCACCCCTCTGCAGTCCCTGCCAGCCTCCTTCCCCAGCCTCCTTCTCCAGCCTCCTCCCCGACCGACCCTGGTCCCCTGCTCCCCACAGTCAGTAGAGGGCGCCGGTGAGCACAGAGTCGGGATGGAGGCTGGGTGGTCCTGGCCCCGCCCACGGCCCTCCGTGGCTCCCGCCTTCCTCCGGGGAAAAGCCCACGTCCTCTGCCAGCCCAGCCGCCGGGCCCTGCCCTCTGCCCTCTCCTGCTTGTCACGCCGCGGCAGCCACACGGGCCACCCCCGCTGTGCCTCCGACCCCCCAGGCCAGGGCTCTGCCTGGAACAGCTTCCCCCGAGCGTTCCACCCACCCCGGTCTCCCAGCGGGCGGGGATTTCAGCCTGAGCCACCTCGCCCGGACCCTGCCTGGCTTCTCTGCCGGTCCAGCTCTCACACAGCAGCGAGTTTGCCAGCTGTGATGACTTCTCGTTATTTGGCCCCAGGATGAGGTAGGTACCTCGATCCCAACCCTCCCGCAGGTGGAGACAGTCAAGGCCCTGGGGCCACGAGGCAGGGCAGGGTTGGAGCCTGACTCCAGCGCCACCTGGCCCTCAGCGTCAACCCCGACCTTCCCCTGCTTCTCAGAAGCGCAGCAGTGCCCAGACCCAGCTTGGTTGCCTCCAGGGATGGGGCGCTCGCTCTCTGTCTCCAGGCAGCCAGTCCAACTGCCCAAGGACAGGAGCAGGTGAGATTTGCGGCGAGCGTGTTCAGGCGTGAGTGCCACCCCCCGTGGGCCCCAGCAGCGAGCCTTGAGGTTAGGGTGTAAAGCCACGAGGGCGCGTTGGTTAGAGCCGCCAAGCGTGGGGCCCGTCTTCTCAGGGAAGTGTGGGCCGGCGTGGGACCAAGGCACCAAAGCAGAGGGCCCCCCCACCCCAGGCTCGGAGCCTCGGCCTCAGTCCAGCCGTCACCCCCGAAACCACGCTCCCGCCAGATGCTGTAAAGAGCGGGTCCGTGTCACCCCCACCCCAGCTGGTGCCCCAGGACCGAGATCTGGGTCCCAGAGCCTGGGGGTCAACCCACCTGCCTTCATCATGGGGGATCCATTGACGGTCCTCACGGGCGTGTTGGAGACACGCTTCTCTGCACAGGAGGCGGATGTGGAGAGAGAGATGGGGGTCAGAGGAGAGGTCCCCCGGAATCCCCAGACAGCCAAACGCCCCTTCAGACAAGTGCATCCAGAACCCCCACATGCACTAGGGCTCCCGACACCCAGATACAGCCCAGACCCCACCCAGATATGGGCACCTGGGCCCTCCAGACACGCAGACCCCACCCAGACACAGGTACCCGGGCCTCCAAGAGACACAGACCCCACCCAGACACAGAAACCTGGGCCCCCCAGACAAGCAGACCCCACCCAGATACCCAGACTCTGCCCAGACCCCACCCAGACACAGGCACCTGGGCCTCCGAGAGACACAGACCCCATCCAGAACCCACCCAGACCCAGAGACCTAGGCCCCCAGACACCCAGACCCCACCCAGACACCCAGATCCCACCCAGAACCCACCTAGACACAGGCACCTAGCGCCCCTGCCCCCTGGAAAATCCCACAGCCAGCCCCACAGTTCATTCCTCATCTCTCAGCTCAGTGATTTTCAAAAAATCCCTGAGAGGCCTGCATGGATTTAATTATTAATTTTTAATTCTACAGCAAGACGAGGAGACACTCTCCTTATGAATAATTAACACACAACAAACCAGGCCAAAGGCGCTTCAGCAGTGCCGAACCCGGCCGGCAGCTGTCCCACTACGGATGTGGGAACAGACACGTTTCATGACACGCGTTTTATAGACAGGGTCTCACTCTGTCGCCCAGGCTGGAGGGCAGTGGTGTGAACACAGCTCACTGCAGCCTTGACCTCCTGGGCTCAAGGGATCCTCCCACCCCAGTCTCCTGAGTGGCTGGGATTCCAGGCGCCGGACACCATACCCGGCTAATTGTTTTGTATTTTTGGTAGAGACCAGGTTTCACTGCGTCGGCCAGGCTGGTCTCAAACTCCTAACCTCAAGTGATCCACCCGCCTCGGCCTCCCCAAGTGCTGGGATAACAGGTGTCAGCCACTGGGCCCAGCTGGTGGTTAATTTGTTTTTTATTTTAATCTTTGGCACAGACGGGGGTCTCCCAAAATGCTGGAATTACAGGTGTGGGCCACCAGGCCCGGCTACTTTTTCGTATTTTTTTCAGTAGACCCCGGGTTTTGCCATGTTGGTCAGGCTGGTCTCGAACTCCTGACCTCAGGTGATCCACCCGCCTCAGCCTCCCAAGGTGCTGGGATCACACGGCTGGGCCACCGCGCAACTGTCAGCTCGAGCTGCCTTCCCCGTCCCGCCATCCCCTCTCTGGCCACCAGAGTGCGCCAACGCCCCATGAATTCCTTCCAGAACCTACCTTTGGGTGTGCCCGCTGGGGTCTGCAAGAGAGAACAGAGAGAGGTCAGGGGTGTTAGCGTCCCCGGCAGGAGGAGGGGGAGCCTGAGGGGCCGGAGCGTGGGACGGGCGTGGACAGTGGGTGACGTCAGACACGCCTGCTTCGGGTCCCACCCTCCTGCGGCCCCAGCCAGAAACCCAGTGGTCATCTCCTTTCTTTTCTTTTTTTTTTTTATTCGAGACGGAGTTTCGCTCTTGTTACCCAGGCTGGAGTGCAATGGCGCGATCTCGGCTCACCGCAACCTCCGCCTCCTGGGTTCAGGCAATTCTCCTGCCTCAGCCTCCTGAGTAGCTGGGATTACAGGCATGCGCCACCATGCCCAGCTAATTTTTTGTATTTTTAGTAGAGACGGGGTTTCTCCGTGTTGACCAGGATGGTCTCGATCACTTGACCTCGTGATCCACCCGCCTTGGCCTCCCAAAGTGCTGGGATTACAGGCATGAGCCACCGCACCCGACAAGGGTCTGGTTTTAACACAGTCTGGCATAGACGTCAGACCCCAGAATCTCAGCAGCTGAGTCCACTGAGGACCACGCAGCTGCGTGGCCTGGAGCCAGCCTCTCTACCTCTGTGGGCCCAGGTTTTGACTTCCATCACACGGGGATACTGTTTCAACCGAAGGGCTTCCGGAGGCTCGGGCAACATGAAACAGACGCAGATGCTCAACAAAAACAGTAACCCCAGTCTGGGGAGTACAGTGACACCCTGTTTCTACCAAAAATACTCAAGTTAGCAGGCCGTGCTGGCGTGTGCCTGTGGCCCCAGCTACTCGGGAGGTTGAGGCAGGAGGATCCCTGGAGGTGGGGAAGTCGAGGCTGACGTGAGCTGTGACTGTGCCACTGCACTCTGGCCTGGGTGACACAAGAGACCGTGTGTCAAAAAAAAAATCCAGCCCGGGTGCGGTGGCTCAGGCCTGTCATCCCATCACTTTGGGAGGCTAAGGTGGGCGGATCACCTCAGGTCAGGAGTTCGAGACCAGCCTGATCAACATGGAGAAACCCCATCTCTACTAAAAACATAAAAATCAGCTGGGCGTGGTGGCACATGCCTGTCATCCCAGCTACTCGGGAGGCTGAATCAGGTGGAGGTTGCCGTGAGCAGAGATGATGCCATTGCACTCCAGCTTGGGCGACAGAGTGAGACTTCATCTAAAAAAAAAAAAAAAAAAAAAAAAAAAAAAAAAAAAAAAAGCCAGGGCCGGGTGCGGTGGCTCAAGCCTGTAATCCCAGCACTTTGGGAGGCCGAGGCGGGTGGATCACGAGGTCAAGAGATCGCGACCATCCCGGTCAACATGGTGAAACCCCGTCTCTACTAAAAATACAAAAAACTAGCCGGGCGCGGTGGCTCAAGCCTGTAATCCCAGCACTTTGGGAGGCTGAGGTGGGTGGATCACGAGGTCAAGAGATTGAGACCATCCTGGTCAACATGGTGAAACCCCGTCTCTACTAAAAATACAAAAAATTAGCTGGGCATGGTGGTGTGTGCCTGTAATCCCAGCTACTCAGGAGGCTGAGGCAGGAGAATTGCCTGAACCCAGGAGGCGGAGGTTGCGGTGAGCCGAGATCGCGCCATTGCACTCCAGCCTGGGTAACAAGAGCGAAAGTCCGTCTCAAAAAATTAAAAAAAGGCCGGGCGCGGTGGCTCAAGCCTGTAATCCCAGCCCTTTGGGAGGCAGAGGCGGGTGGATCACAAGGTCGAGAGATCGAGACCATCCTGGTCAACATGGTGAAACCCCGTCTCTACTAAAAATACAAAAAATTAGCTGGGCATGGTGGCACGTGCCTGTAATCCCAGCTACTCAGGAGGCTGAGGCAGGAGAATTGCCTGAACCCAGGAGGCGGAGGTTGCGGTGAGCTGAGATCACGCCATTGCACTCCAGCCTGGGTAACAAGAGCGAAACTCCGTCTCAAAACAAAAACAACAACAAAAAAAACACTAATGTCACACCCTGCGGCCCCGGGTCTCCTGCCATTCCCTCAGCCCTTCCAATGCCCGCAGTGGTGGCTGCTCCCATCACTCCCCTGTCTTATAGATGGGGAAACCGAGGCCCAGTGAGGCGAAGCCATGAGTGTGTCCCAGCTCACACAGCTGGGAAGAGAGGGCCCGGTGAGGCTGAACCCCAAGCACCTAGCTCTAATCTGTGCCTGTCCCCTCAGCTACACCGATAGGGAAGGGGCGGGGTCTCGCTCTGGGACCAGTGGGAGTGGGTGCCTGGGGACCCGCCCCAGCCACCCCTTACCTGCTGTGAGTTCATCACCACCTCTGTCTTGCGCTCCTCCTTGGCTGGGCTCGGAGCTGCTGCGTTCTCCTTGGCAGACGCTGGGGTGGAGTCTCCATGCTCCAGGACCTCGATTTCCTTCTCCAGCCTGGGGAGAGGGTGTGCCTATGAGGGTGACGTGACGGGGCACTCCTGCACCCCCGGTGCGGCCCTGAGCACCTTCCATACGACAGCTCCCCAGATTTCTTTATTTTTTGGGGGGACGGAGTTTCGCTCTTGTTACCCAGGCTGGAGTGCAATGGCGTGATCTTGGCTCACCGCAACCTCCACCTCCTGGGTTCAGGCAATTCTCCTGCCTCAGCCTCCTGAGTAGCTGGGATTACAGGCACGCGCCACCATGCCCAGCTGATTTTTTGTATTTTTAGTAGAGACGGGGTTTCACCATGCTGACCAGGATGGTCTCGATCTCTTGACCTCATGATCCACTCGCCTCGGCCTCCCAAAGTGTTAGGATTACAGGCGTGAGCCAATGTGCCCGGCCCTTCTTTTTTTTTTTTAAAAAAATAGATTCTTGCTCTGTTATCAGGCTGGAGTGCAGTGGCGTGATCTCAGCTCACCGCAGCCTCTGCCTCCTGGGTTCAAGCGATTCTCCTGCCTCAGCCTCCCGAGTAGCTGGGACTACAGGCGCCCGCCACCACACCTGGCTAACTTTTTGTATTTTTAGTAGCTACAAGGTCTAACCATGTTGGCCAGGCTGGTCTCGAACTCCTGACCTCAGGTGATCTGTGTGCCTCGTCCTCCCAAAGTGCTGGGATTATAGGTGTGAGCCCCTGCCCTGGCCTAGATCCCCAAATGTAATGCTCCCCGGCAGCCCCGAGAGGTAAACCCATCATGCTCTTTCACGGTGGGGGAAAGTGAGGCCCGGAGTGAAACAGGCACACAGCCAGCAGGTAGCAGAGGCAGGATTCAAACCAGGGCTGGCTCTCCACGTCCCCTTACCACCGGCCTGTGCTGTTTGCCTCGCTGTCTGTCTCAAACAAACTCTCGTTTCCCTCTCAGATCTTTTAACAGGAAACTTTTCTCTCTCTGGGAAAACTGGAAAAACCATGTCACTTTCCAAGTGTTAGAAGATAACAGTACAAACAGATCCAGGAAAACAACACTGGGATGTGAAATCCCAGCCCCGGGCTTTGGTGAGGGCGGGCGGCGTTACAGGCAGCTCAGCCCCAGCCCCCAGACCGGACAGACGGGGGCTGAGTCCGTAGGTCTAACGAGGTGGGCCCAGGCTGGCCAGCTGGACACAGTCAGATCTGTGCACCCCCAGGAAGAGGGGTCCAGGGTCAGCCTGGAGGGCTTCCTATAGGAGGTGTCTGAGCAGAGGTGCTGATTGGGCAGAAGGTGGGTGTGGAGACTCAGGCCAGCTCAGTTTCGGTACCTGACGGGCGGGTTGCCTGGGGAGACGTGAGGCTGAGGCCCCTAAAAGCACACTAGGTCTCAAGCCAGGTGTCTGCTCTACGTGGAGGGGCCTGAGCCTGTACCCACTAGGGCTCCACCCAGCAGGGCTGGGGTGAAAAGTAGCTCAGTGTGCCCAGCCCCCGTGGCCAGTAACTCGCACTGCCTCTGCCCTGGTGTCCGCCTTCCCACCTCTCTGCAGACAGGGCCAGGCCCGTCTCACCCCACCTCTGTCTGCACATCCAGGGCAGCTCAGGCACACAGCCGGTGCTTCGTGTTTGCTGGAACTAAGATGCGCACGGTGGGGGTTTTGCCTCCGTGGTTCACGGGTGGGGAGACTGAGGCCCCAGGAGTCAGTTACACTCAGCTCATTCCAAGGTTCCAAACCCACCAGAACCGCCCCTACCCCATCCACACCTGCCTTTTTCTTGGTTTTTTTTTTTTTTTTTTTTTTTTTTTTAAGACGGTGTTTCGCTCTTGTTACCCAGGCTGGAGTGCAATGGCGCGATCTCGGCTCACCGCGACCTCCGCCTCCTGGGTTCAGGCAATTCTCCTGCCTCAGCCTCCTGAGTAGCTGGGATTACAGGCACGCGCCACCACGCCCAGCTAATTTTTTATATTTTTAGTAGAGACGGGGTTTCACCATGTTGACCAGGACGGTCTCGATCTATTGACCTCGTGATCCACCCGCCTCAGCCTCCCAAAGTGCTGGGATTACAGGTGTGAGCCACCGCTCCCGGTCCCTCTTTCTTTTCTTTCTAAGATGGAGTTTCGCTCTTGTTGCGCAGGCTGGAGAGCAATGGTGCCATCTGGGCTCACTGCAATCTCCGCCTCCCGGGTTCAGGTGATTCTCCTGCCTCAGGCTCCCAAATAGTTGGGATTACCGGCGCGTGCCACCACGCCCAGCTAATTTTATATTTTTAGTAGAGAGGAGGTTTCTCCATGTTGGCCGGGCTAGTCTTGAGCGCCTGACCTCACGTGATCCACCCACCTTGGCGGCCTCCCAAAGCGCTGGAATTGTGAGCCACCGTGCTTAGCCTCTTTTTTCCCTTTTTTTTTTTAAGAGACGGAGTTTTCCTCTTGTTGCCCAGGCTGGAATGCAATGGTGCGATCTCGGCTCACCGCGACCTCCGTCGCCAAGGTTCAAGTGAGTCTCCGGCTTAGCCTCTGGTACAGCTGGGATTACAGGTATGTACCACCATACTGGCTAATTTATTTTTGTATTTTTAGTAGAGACAGGGTTTCTCCATGTTGGTCAGGCTGGTCTTGAACTCCCAACCTCACGTGATCTGCCTGCCTTGGCCTCCCAAAGTGCTGGGATTACAGGCGTGCGCCACCGTGCCCAGGTTTTTTTTTTTTTTTTTTTAAGATGGAGTCTTACTCAGTCACCCAGGCTGGAGTAAAGTGGCAAAATCTTGGCTCAAGGCAACCTCCGTCTCCTGGGCTTGAGCAATTCTCCTGCCTCAGCCTCCGGAGTAACTGGCTTACAGGTGCACTTCACCACGCCTGGCTAATTTTTGTATTTTCAGTAAAGACAGGATTTTGTCATATTGGTCAGGCTGGTTTAGAACTCCTGACCTCAGGTGATCCATCTGCCTAAGGCTCCCAAAGTGCTGGGATGATAGATGTGAGCAACTGCCCATACCTGGTACGCCCATGCCTTTATTTTATTTATTTTTATTTTTTTTGAGACAGATTCTCGCCCTGACACCCAGGCTTGAATGCGGTGGCACAATCTCGGCTCACTGCAACCTCCGCTTCCTGGGTTCAAGTGATTCTTCTGCTTCAGCCTTCCAAGTAACCTGGGATTAGTAGCACGCGCTACCATGCCCGGCTAATTTTTGTATTTTTGGTAGAGACGGGGTTTCTCCATGTTGGTCAGGCTGGTCTCAAACTCCTGACCTCAGTGGATCCACCCGCCTCAGCCTCCCAAAGTGCTGGGATCAGAGGCGTGAGCCGTCACACCCAGCCTGTCCATGCCTTTAAACACGCTACCCAGGGAGAGAGACGTCCACCCCAAAGCCCCCCACACATGCTTTCTTCAAGGCAAATACACAGAACTGGGCAGGGACGGGGCCCCCATGGGGGTCAGACCCCAGCATCCAGGCGAGGCCTGCGAGGCCGGTGTCAGGCCCTGGTGCTGTGTGACCTGGCAGGCGCCCTCCCGCTGAGCCGGTTCCCTGGCCAGGGCAGGCATCTGGAATCTCGGTCATCACTTCCCTCCGCCCTGACCCTGCTGCCCCAAGCAGAGCCCGGGCCTCCCGCGGGCCGGAAACTCCAGGCCTTTGGTCCCAGCCCCCACGGGGACGGCCACTCTCTTTCCCCATCCTGTCCCCATCCTGCCCCCACCCAGGCTTCCTGCGGGCCCAGCCACCCAGCATCCACCCTGTTCGCACCAGGGGAGCTACACGAGCCGGCTGGGCTGGCGCCAGGAAGCCCCCGGGGAGGCCAGTGGCGGCAACCTCGGCTCCAGGGACCCACGAGCCGACCCACGTCCCTCAGCAGCTCAAATGGGGACGGCGGGAGGGGAGGGGAAGACTCTCTGCCCGAGGCCATTCAGCGACCATGCCCCCAGCACTGCCCGGGCCCAGGCAGGAACCCCCGCCTGCTCCTTCCTCCCTCTCACAGCACCTGCGACCCGGCCTGTCCCGTCCACACATCACCCTCAGTGGCCCCAGAGGCAGCCCAGCCTGTTGCACTCCTGCCTCAGCCCTCACTGGCCCCGTCGTACCTGAGCATCGGGCCCCCCAACCCGGACCTGTCGCACCCCTGCCTCGCCCCCAGACCCATCGCACCCCTGCCTCGCACCCCTAGACCCGTCGCACCCCTGCCTCGCCCCCCCAGAGCCGTCGCACCCCTGCCTCACCGCCCTCACCCAGCCTCACCCCCCACCGGCCCCATCACACCCCTGCCTCGCCCCCTCCTCTGCCCTGTTGCACCCCTGCCTCGGCCACCCCACACCCCCCCGGCCCCATCACACCCCTGCCTCGGCCCCCCCGCCGGCCCCATCGCATCCCTGCCTCGGCCCCCCCCGGCCCTGTCGCACCCCTGCCTCGGATACCCCCTGCCCCGTCGCACCCCTGACTCGGACCCCCCGCCCCATCGCACCCCTGCCTCGCCCCCTCCCCGGTCCCATCGCACCCCTGCCTTGGCCCCCCCCACCTGTCACACCCCTGCCTCGGATACCCCTGCCCCAACGCACCCCTGCCTCGGACCCCCCGCCCCATCGCACCCCTGCCTCGCCCCCTCCCCCACCCTGTCGCACCCTTGCCTCGGATACCCCTGCCCTGTCGCACCCCTGTGTCGGCCTCCCCCGGCCCCATCACACCCCTGCCTCAGACCCCCTGCCCCGTCGCACCCCTGCCTCAGCCCCCCCCGCCCCGTCACACCCCTGCCTCGGACCCCCTGCCCCATCGCACCCCTGCCTCAGCCCCCCCGTCCCGTCGCACCCCTGCCTCAGCCTCCCCGCCCCGTCACACCCCTGCCTCGGACCCCCCCACCCCATTGCACCCCTGCCTCAGACCCCCGGCCCCGTCACACCCCCGCCTTGGCCTCCCCCGGCCCCGTCGCACACCTGCCTCGGACCCACTGCCCCGTCGCACCCCTGCCTCGGACCCCCCGGCCCTGTCGCACCCCTGCCTCGGACCCCCCCCGCCCCGTCACACCCCTGCCTCGGACCCCCCGTCCCGTCGCACCCCTGCCTTGGACCCCCCCTGCCCCGTCGCACCCCTGCCTCACCCCACCTGGACACTGAGTCCTCCAGCAGCCGTGTCTTCTGCTCGTCTTCCTGCATCTGCCTCCTCAGGTCCTCGTCCCCCTCCGAGGCCGAGGATGGAGTCCCCTCCAGCAGCCAGCGCTCCCGCAGTGCCTTGGACTGGGTGGCAGGGGTCCAGGTCAGAGACGGGGTCGGGGTCGGGGTCGGGACCAGGTCAGGGTTGGGGTCCGAGTTAAAAGTGAGGTCAGGGTCAGTGTTAGAATCAGAGTCCGAGTTGGTATTGGGGTCAGGACCAAGGGTGGCATCAGGGGAGGGTTAGGTCTGAGGTCAGAGTCAGAACCAAGGTTGGGGTCAAGGGAGGGTCTGGGCCTGGGTTGGGATCAGAGTTACGTCAGAGTTGGGGTCAAGGTCAGGGTCAGGATTGAGGCTGGGGTCGGGTCAGGTCAGAGTCAGAACTGAGGTCAGGGTCAGGGTCGGAGGCACCCCCAGGATCAGGTTGGGGTCAGTGTCAGCTTTGGGTCAGGGTCGGGGTCAGGGTTGCGGGCAGGACCAGGATCAGGGTCAGGGTAGGGTGGGGTGGGGTGGGGGTTCCTGGGCAGAGTGGCTTCTGCCTCACTGACGCCTGGGTCTCAAGAACCCTGGGTCCTGGGGAAAGGCGGCCTCTGTCCCCCTGGCCCTGGGTCCTGAGGAAAGGTGGCCTCTGCCCCTGTCCCTGGGTCCTGGGGAAAGGTGGCCTCTGCCCCCTGGCCCTGGGTCCTGAGGAAAGGTGGCCTCTGTCCCCCCAGCTCTGGGTTCTGAGGAAAGGTGGCCTCTGTCCCCCCGGCTCTGGGTCCTGAGGAAAGGTGGCCTCTGTCCCCCCGGCCCTGGGTCCTGGGGAAAGGTGGCCTCTGCACCCCCCGGCCCTGGGTCCTGGGGAAAGGTGGCCTCTGTCCCCCCGGCCCTGGGTCCTGGGGAAAGGTGGCCTCTGTCCCCCCGGCCCTGGGTCCTGAGGAAAGGTGGCCTCTGCCCCCCCGCCCTGGGTCCTGGGTAAAGGTGGCCTCTGTCCCTCCGGCCCTGGGTCCTGGGGAAAGGTGGCCTCTGCCCCCCCGCCCTGGGTCCTGGGGAAAGGTGGCCTCTGTCCCCGGCCCTGGGTCCTCGCCCCGCCCGCACCTTCAGGTGCTGCAGCTGCCTGCGTTCGTCCTCTAGCTGCCGACGCTTGTTCTCAATCTCCGCCTGCCGCTTCCGCTTCTCCTGTGGGGAGAGCCAGGCGGGGCTGGGGCCGGGTGTAGGGGACCCAGAGATCCCCCCACACCCTTGGGAGGCTCTGCCTAGCCTGACCCTGCGGACGGACCGCTGCACTCCTGGCCGGGCGCGGTGGCTCACGCCTGCCATCCCGGCACTTGGGGAGGCCCAGGCGGGAGAATCACCTGAGGTCAGGAGTTCCAGACCGGCCTGGACAACATGGCAAAATTCCGTCTCTACTAAAAATACAGAAATTAGCCGGGCGTGGTGGTGGGTGCCTGTAATCCCAGCTACTCGAGAGGCTGAGGCAGGAGAATGGCTTGAACCCGGGAATCGGGCCAGGTCCCGGGGGCGGGGTGGTCACAGAGAGAGGTCGGCTGGCCCCAAGGGGGTCTTCTTGGGTTGGAGGCCACTGGGACAGTACGAAATCACATCGGTGCTCCCACCACCAAAGCCTGTGTTCCTGCACGATGCAGGCAAGGCTCCAGGGGATCCCAGCCCATTTCTCCGCGGACCCATCAGGCAGGGGGAGGCCGGGGTCCCGGAGACGCCGACTCAGGGGTCTCTACTTTCAGTCTCTGCAGATCAGCAGGACTCAAGATCCACAAGCAGATAACTCACCACCCCCCACGCCCTGGTTCCAGGTCCTGGGATAGGCCTGGGCCCCGAGACCCCGGGCACCCCCACCTCCCCACACCGACCGTGCTGCCTGCGGGGCGTCGGAAACTCACTGCGATGGCCTGCAGCCGCTCCTGCTGGGACGTGGTCTCTGCCGACAGGACCCTGAGGGAGGGGAGATGGGGTCAGGCTCTGGGTCGCTGAGCCCTGCTGGCTGTCAGGCGTCGTTCAAATCCCAGCTCTGCCTCTTCCCCCAGGGGTAACCAGGGCAAGTCATTCCTCTTTGAACCCGTTTCCTTTCTGTGAAGCGGGACCCTCCCTCCTCCTGAAGCGGCCAAGGAAGCCAGGACAGGAGGGGAAGAGCCTCTGCCTAGCAACCAAGAAGGGTTGGGGAGAAGGGGGCCTTGAGGAAGGGCCACCAAGGATGCATAGGAGTTCACCAGGCATCAAAGGCCAGAGGGGTGTTTCAGGAACAAGGAAGCGTACTACCTCCTGGCCCAGAGCAGAAGACGGATCAGGACAGGCCTCTCCGCACCCTCCTGCTCACCAGAACATGTTCTCCAGGCCCAGGAGGGGCGCAGAGTGGGTGAAAGACCCACCAGCCCCACCTCCCAAGCCTGAGCTTGCAAAAGCCCAGAGAGGGAGATAAGCCTCCCAAGGACACACAGCAAAGAAGCAGAGTTGGGATTCAACCCCAGACTTGCTCTCATCCAATCATTGTCTTTTTTTTGAGACTGAGTTTCATTCTTGTCACCAGGCTGGAGGGCAGTGGCGTGATCTTGACTCACTGCAACCTCTGCCTCCCAGGTTCAAGTGATTCTCCTGCCTCAGCCTCCTGAGAAGCTGGGACAACAGGTGCCCACCATCGTGCCCAGCTAATTTCTGTATTTTTTTTTTTTTTTTTTTTTTTTTTTTTTGAGATGGAGTTTTGCTCTTGTTACCCAGGCTGGAGTGCAATGGCACGATCTCGGCTCACTGCAACCTCCGCCTCCTGGGTTCAGGCAATTCTCCTGCCTCCTGAGTAGCTGGGATTACAGGCACGTGCCACCATGCCCAGCTAATTTTTTGTATTTTTAGTAGAGACGGGGTTTCACCATGTTGACCAGGATGGTCTCCATCTCTCGACCTCGTGATCCACCCGCCTCAGCCTCCCAAAGTGCTGGGATTACAGGCTTGAGCCACCGCGCCCGGCCTAATTTCTGTATTTTTAGTAGAGAGAGCGTTTCACCATGTTGCCAGGCTGGTCTCTTGAACTAACCTCGGCTGATCCATCTGCCTCAGCTTCCCAGTGTTGGGATCACAGGCGTGAGCTACTGCACCCAGCCCAGTCATTGTCTTTTGAGAAGAGCCCACAGTGCACCCAGAGCAATTCCCAGAGCTGGTATGCAGTAGGCTCTTAACAACTATCGGGCAGCTCGGCCGGGCGCGCTGGCTCACGCCTGTCATCCCAGCACTTTGGGAGGCCGAGGCAGGCGGTCACCTGAGGTTGGGAGTTTGAGACCAACCTGAGCAAGGTGGGAAAACCCCATCTCTAGTAAAAATACAAAATGAGCCGGGCGTGGTGGCGGGCACCTGCAGTCCCTGATCAAAGCCCTCGCCACCCTTGCCAGGCACCCACCACACACTCAATTGCCCAGGAAAGAATCGAAAAGTTCGGTGACTCTCTGACCTCCGCACAGCAGCCTTGCCCTTCGGGTCCAAAAGCTGGTGCATAGCCCTCCTCCTCATCCATCTGCAGCCCCGGGGTCCACACCCCAAGTCCCGGTCACCCCCCGGCCCCACTGCTTTCTCACTTCCCCTCCCCACCTGCCAGAGGAGTCTGCCACGTAATCCCTCCCCTCCCTGGTCTGGCTCCGGGTCACGACTTCCCTGGAGCCTGAGGCGCCCTGCCTGCCCACCCCACTCGGGTTCAGTTTCCTGGCCCTGCTGAGGCCTGTGAAGTTGTCCAGCTCCCATGCCCCAGTGGTGACCCCACTGGCTCCTCCCTTCCTGGCAGGTGACACCTACCCTTCCTGGTGCCTTCCAGGGGCCCGGGAGCACCAGCCGCACCCTCTGTGGCTTCCCCTTCTCCCTCCTCAGGGAGGCTGCATTCACTGGGTGGGGTTCAGGAAAGGCTCGATCCAGCTTTCTGGCTTGGGGGCCCTTCCTGAATGGCCCGATCAGCTGGAGTTCTGGGTGAACCCCACAGCACCGGGTGACGCAGGCCAGCAAGCCATCCCCTGTGTTTTTCCTTCAGGCCTGGGCCCTCACTTCCTGCCCACCTCACGTTCCCCACCCCACCCCAGCCCAGGCCTCCAGTGTTCCCTGCTGAGTCCGTGCCCCCTCACAGCTCCCTCTCCACTGGCCAGCCAGAGGCAGCTTCTCAAAAAGAGAATCATACCCTGGGCTGGGTGTGGGCTCATGCCTGTAATCCCAGCACTTTGGGAGGCCGAGGCCAGTGGACTGCTTGAACCCCAAAGTTCAAGACCAGCCTAAGCAACATAGCAAGAGCCTGTCTCTACAAAAATTAACAAAAAGCCAGGTGTGGGGATGTGTTCCTGTGGTCCCAGCTACTTGGGGGGCTGAGGTGGGAGGATCACTTGAACCCAGGAGGTCGAGGCTGCAGTGTGCTGTGATTGTACCACTGTGCTCCAGCCAGAGCAAGACCTTGTCTCAAAATAATAATAATAATAATAATAATAATAATAAAAGAAGGCCAGGCACAGAGGCTTACTCCTGTAATCCCAGCACTTCGGGAGGCCGAGGTGGGTGGGTCGCTTGATGTCAGGAGTTCAAGGCCAGCCTGGCCAACATGGTGAAACCTAGTCTCTACTGAAAATACAAAAATTAGCCAGGCGCCTGTAGTTCCAGCTACTTGGGAGGCTGAAGCAGGAGAACCGCTTGAATCCAGGAGGTGGAGGTTGCAGTGAGCCAAGATTGCACCACTGTACTCCAGCCTGGGTGACAGAGCAAGACTGTGCCTCAAAATATAATAAGGCCGGGCGCGGTGGCTCACGCCTGTAATCCCAGCACTTTGGGAGGCCGAGGCGGGTGGATCACAAGGTCAAGAGATCGAGACCATCCTGGTCAACATGGTGAAACCCCGTCTCTACTAAAAATACAAAAAATTAGCTGGGCATGGTGGCGCGTGCCTGTCATCCCAGCTACTCAGGAGGCTGAGGCAGGAGAATTGCTTGAACCTAGGAGGCGGAGGTTGCAGTGAGCTGAGATCGCGCCATTGCACTCCAGCCTGGGTAACAAGAGTGAAACTCTGTCTCAAAAAAAAAATAATAATAATAATAATAATCACTCAGACCCTGTTGCTCTCCTGCTCCAGAGGCTCCCTGGCTCCCATCAGCCCTTGAAGGAACCCCCCAGGCCCCCCTTCACTTCCCCCTGCTGGGTCTGTTCCTGGAGAGCCCCCCTGGCTGTGCCCTACCCCAGGGCCTCTCACCCGGTCCCCCCTGCTCCGCACCCTCTTCCCATGGCTGGATGCCGACCCTCGGGGGCCACACCACAGTCCTAGATTCCAGCTCTAAGTGGGCTCGGGGCCACCCTGGAGGGAGCAGAGCTGGGCCGGGAAATCCACAAAACGGAGGGACCCCGGGCCCCAAGATCAGGCGGCGCACCGCCCGCCTAGGGCCCGTCCCCACCCGGCAGGCAGGTGGCCGCTGGGGCCAGACCAGGAACCGGGGACAGAGAAACGGCTGTGTGGCCGCCTCCCGGGCTGGAGACAAGGCGGCAGTGTCCTCCGGACAGCCTGTCCCAGCCGGGCTGGCCAGGAAGGGGGAAGGTCAGGCGGGCGGGCGGGAGACACAGGGGAAGCAGCCCCAGGGCGCAGGCCGCGGGCCCCCTCGCCCCTCCCCAGGCCCGCGCGCCCCCGTCGCCCCTCCCCAGGACCGCGCGCCCCCCTCGCCCCTCCCCAGGCCCGCGCGAGCCCCTCGCCCCTCCCGAGGCCCCGGCGCCCCCCTCGCTTCCCCCCCAGGCCCAAGCCGCCGCCCCGGGTGATGGATGGCGGGGCCCGCGGGAGGCGGTCGCCGTGGCAACCGCGCTGTCCCCATGGCAACGCCAAGGCCCTGAGCGCGGGGGTGGGGCCGGCGCGCAGCATCTCCCGCCCCCAGCCCTCTTTGGGGGGTGGGGGGGGACGGGGCTTCCCGGCCAGGCCTGGGGCAGCCTCGGGACGCGGGAGAGGTCGGCGGTTACTCCCCGCGCCGCGCCTGGGGGACAGGGAGGGCCCATCTGGGCGTCGGGGGCGCCGGCTCGGGAAGGGGCTTCCATCGGGGAAGAGTCTGGACCTGCCCCCGACGACGCCGGGTAGCCAAGGTCAAGCTCACACCACGTTCCACGTCACAGACCCGAAAACCACGCGAAATACGACCACGACGCGCGTGAAAAACAGCCAGAAACTGAGAACACCTCCCCCAGCCTCGTTCCCTCCGGCGGCCGGATCAGCCCCATTTCACAGATGGGGAAACTGAGGCCGGGGCCGCGCGTCTTCGCGGGGCCGTCATTTATCCTCCTGCGGGTGGGGCCGGCCAGGCGCGTGGGGTTTTCACCCCCGTGCGGTCAGCGGGGCCGGGCCCAGGACCCCAGCGCGGGGCTCCCTGGGGTGGCGGAGGCCTCAGGCTTCCCCCGGGCGCAGGGAAGGAGGCGGAGATCAGATCACAAAAGGTCTTACATGGTGTGCGGAGAAGCTGAGTCCCGGCCAACAGGCGTGGACAGGCTCGGGGTCGGCGTGGGTCCTGGTCCCGCTGGCTGCGCTGGGGCCGGTCGTGGGTCTCGAGCCTCCCCGGCTCCCAGCGGCCGCGCAGAGCCCGAGGAGCGCCCACTCCGGCGCGCACCGGCCTCCCGTCCCCGCGCGATGCTTTTTACGGCGGGCGCGTGGCAGTGTGGGCGGCTCAGGGCCCGGCGAGGGCGTCGTCTGGAGCGCGTGAGATAATCCGGCTCGGGGATATGAGTTAAGGCGGCCCAGACCCGCCAGAGCCCCGCGGAGGCCTCGGTGGTGCGGGGCGGTGCTGTTGGAAGGGTCCAGAGAGGTTACGCAACGGCCAAGGTCACCCAGCGAGCAGGCGGCCCCGCCAGAAGCGGGAGGGGTGTGTGTGTGTGAGTGTGAGATCGGGGGGGGGGGTCCCACTGGTCCTTCCAGAACCCACGGCTGGGGCAGCTCCAGCCGGAACGAGGGGGTCCCTGCCCGGGCCAGTGCCCGAGCCCAGCACCGGGAACATTCCTGCTGCCAATTGAAAGGAAACAGCTGACGGTGACCTTGGCCATTGTGGGGGGTGGGGAGTCACGCGGGGCAGGAGGGGGGAGGGGGGGCGGCTTCTTCCCCCACCGGGCCGGGGATGGAGTTTGGGGAGTCTGGACCCCAGCTGCTTCCCACCCCCGTGATACTCTGCATCTTCGGAGCCCGTGTTTCCCCTGAGCCCTGGCACCCTGACCTCAGGTGTTCTGACCGCCTCAGCCTCCTCCCAAAGTGCTGGGATTACAGAACTGAGCTACTGAGGCCTTCTTTCCTCAACTGCCCTGCCCTGCTCCAAGCCAGAGTTCAAGCCCTGATGTCCACCCCTCAGTCTTCATCAGCTCCCGGCTTCCCCTTTCCCTTCTCCACCACCAAGATCCGCTCAAACACAGCCACCTCCTCCAGGCAGCCTTCCAGGAAGCAGCCTCCTCCCAGCTCCACCAGGATGCAGTACAGAGGCCCCCCGGTGCCACCCCATCTCTGGTGAGGCAGACAGCACGTGGGGGGCACAGAGAACCCTAAACAAGTGAAGTCAGAGAGGCATCACCCCGTGGGGTAGAGGAGAAGACGGAGGTCAAAGCAGACCACAGACGCAGGGAAGCAAATCTATCGCTTATTAACCTGGGGTGGGAAGAAGAGCTGGACCCTGCCCGGGCCCTCACGGGAAGACAGGGCAGTGAGGCGTGAATGGGGCGGGGCTCTGGCTTTCAGCAGGATCTCAGGGCAAACTAGGCTGCAGAGGCCCCATTTTCCTCCCCACCCAACTGCACTCCAGCCACACTCCTAAGACGTCCGGCCGAGCTCCCTCCACAGGGCCATGTGCTGGCTGTGCTCCGGCCGGTGCACAGTACCCCAACCTTCCACGGTCCCCCAGCCCTCGATGGTCCCGCAGCCCTCCATAGGCCTCACTCCTGAGGCCTTCCCGCAGACGCCGCCGCCTCCTTCAGGCCTCCTCTGGCCTTTCTGACTTTCACCCTGAAGCACCCTCTGCAGCCCTTTCCACCCGGATCACTTTACTTATCTTTTTCTTTTTTCTTTCTGAGATGGCGTTTCACTCTTGTTGTCCAGGCTGGAGTGCAGTGGCGTGATCTCGGCTCACTGCAACCTCCGCCTCCCGGGTTTAAGTGATTCTTCTGCCTCAGCCTCCCAAGTAGCTGGGATCACAGATGCCCGCCACGATGCCAGGCTAATTTGTATTTTTAGTAGAGATGGGGTTTCACCATGTTGGCCAGGCTGGTCTCAAACTCCTGACCCCAGGTGATCCACCCGCCTTGGCCTCCCAAAGTGCTGGGGTTACAGATGTGAGCCACCACACCTGGCCGACTTATTTTTTTCTGGTATTCCCACCAGGACTGCAACTGTGTCATTTTTATCTCTGCCATGTCCCTGGCACCAGGTATACAGCAGGTGCTCAATAAATGCTTGCTGGCCCAGGGAGTCTGTTAGGGTCTTTCCATCCTCAGAGGAAGCCCCCACCCAGAGGTCCCCCCAGTCTCAGCCTCCTCTTCTCACGCTCCCACCAGTCCCAGGGCCACCTGTCATCCGAACACTGCTTCTGCTTTTTAAAGAAACTCCCTGTCACGACTTAGATTTCTGTAAAGCAGGACCTGGGCTCCTCAGTGTGAACTGAGCACAAGCTCCAGCCACCTCGGGGGGACTAGAGAGTCGTGAATAAACCGACCCGGGCGTCCGTCGACAGACGCGTGTGTAAATGCAACGCGGCCATCCACACACTGGAATACCACGGGGTGTGACTCCATTTCTATGAAATGTCCAGGGCCTGTCCCCTCCCCCGGCCCCTGGAGCTAATCCCCCTCCTCTTTGGTCCAGAGACAGGAAGGGGATTCACTCCAGGGGCCGGGGGAGGGGACAGGACGCCCAATGGGGACGAAGTTTGTTTGGGGGTGATGAAAATACTCTAAAATTTTGGTGAAAGATACACAACTCTTGTCAATGTCCTAAAAAGATAGAGCTCTACGCTTTAAGCAGGCACACTGTAGTATGTGAAATATATATAGAAATACATAGGGTTTTTTTTTTTTTTTTTTTTTTTTGAGACAGAATCTCATGATCTCTGCTCACTACAACTTCTGCCTCCTGGGTTCAAGCAATTCTTGTGCCTCGGCCTCCCAAGTAGCTGTGAGTACAGGCGCGCGCCACCACACACAGCTACTTTTTTTATTTTTAGTAGAGACAGGGTTTCCTCATGCTGGCCAGGATGGTCTCAGTATCTTGTCCTCATAATCCACCCACCTCGGCCTCCCAAAGTACTGGGATTATAGGCATGAGCCACTCCGCCCGGCTGTGAATTATATTTTAATAAAGCTGTTAAGAATTATACACAGGCCGGGCACGGTGGCTCACACCAGTCATCCCAGCACTGTGGGAGGCCGAGGCGGGCAAATCATAAGGTCAAGAGCTCGAGACTGGCCCAGCCAACATGGTGAGACCCCCGCCTCTACTAAAAATACAAAAAATTAGCCAGGCGTAGTGGCAGATGCCTGTAATTCCAGCTACTCTGGAGGCTGAGGGAGGAAAATCATTTGGACCCAGGAGGCGGAGGTTGCAGTGAGCCGAGATCACACCACTGCACTCCAGCCTGGTGGCAGAGTGAGACTCCATCTCAAAAAAAAAAAAAAAAGAAAGAGAGAGAGAAAGAAAAATAGAAAGATACATATGGAGTCAAAGAAGATCACTTCAGAGCTTTAAAAAATATATATATATATATAGAGAGAGAAATATACATAAAGACATGTGTAGACATCCCAGTGTGCATGTGTGTGTCTGTGTGCGAGTGTCATGGGAATGTCAGCCTTGTCATCAAGGACCAGGCCGGGGGAGGGGCTGGGGCCCTTCCCAACCCCCACGGAGCCTTGAAGCCCCGAGACATTCCATGGATGGAAGGGTTTGAATACAAACTGATGAGGACATAAGCTTCCCACTCCCTGACGCGGGTTACTGAAGCCCCCCAGGCCTCTGTCCCTCTCCCGGCCTTTAGGGTCCTACTCACTGTCTCAATTACCCACAGTCTCTGCCCACCCAGTCGGAGCTCCCAGGCCTGACCCCCACCCCACCCCCACTGTTGACCATGCAGTACCTCCTGCTCAGCTGCCCTCACTTTGGTCCTATTAATCTAAGTTATTTATTTATTTATTTATTTATTTTGAGAGAGAGAGAATCTTGTTCTGTCACCCAGGCTGGAGTGCAGTGGTGCAATCTCGGCTCACTGCAGCCTCTGCCCCCTGGGTTCAAGCTGTTTCAGCCTCCCAAGTAGCTGGGACGACAGGCACCCGCCACTGTGCCCGGCTAATTTTTTTTTTTTTTTTTTTTTTTTTGAGATGGAGTCTTGCTCTTGTTACCCAGGCTGGAGTGCAATGGCGCGATCTCGGCTCACCGCAACCTCCGCCTCCTGGGTTCAGGCAATTCTTCTGCCTCAGCCTCCTGAGTAGCTGGGATTACGGGCACGTGCCACCATGCCCAGCTAGTTTTTTGTATTTTTAGTAGAGACGGGGTTTCACCATGTTGACCAGGATGGTCTCGATCTCCTGACCTCGTGATCTGCCTGCCTCAGCCTCCCAAAGTGCTGGGATTGCAGGCTTGAGCCACTGTGCCCGGCTAATTTTTGTATTTTTAGTGAAGACAGGGTTTTACCGTGTTGGCCAGGCTGATCTCGAACTCCTGACCTCAAGTGATCTGCCTGCCTCGGTCTCCCACAGTGCTGGGATTACAGGCATGAGCCACCTCGCCTGGCCATAATCTAAGTCTTGCCAATTACAAGGCCTGGCTCCTCTGACTCCCCTTCCCTCCAGTCCTAGGCTCTGTCCTGGTGACCGGCTCTGACTGTCCCTGAATTCCTTCTTGAAGCCCTGGGACAGGAGACAGCCACCCTGGCCTGACTTCACACTCCTCAGACACCAGGTCAGCCATGATGGCCAGGTCAGCCATGGCTCCTCTCCTGCTCACACGCCATCCACAGCTCCAAATCCTGGCATTCAAGGCCCAGCAGGAACAAACACCAAAGAGCATTCACTTCCTCCAGAGCTTTCCCACCTCCAGGCCTTTGCACCTGCCAGTCCCTCCACCAGGTGCATGCATGAGCCCTGAAACATCCTTCTCAGAAAAGGTTCATGATGGATTGGATCAGGAAGCCTTTCTCACACCTCAGACAAGACCCTCTATGGCCTTCCAGACCCCTCTGATGCTGCATAGCACAAGGACAGTGAGGAAGGATCATTTGTTCAATGAACAAATGATGTGTTTCTTAGATCAACAAAGGATGACAGGAATCAGGGTCCCACACAAGGTGATATAATGCGTTATTTTTTTTTTTTTTGAGACGAAGTCCTGCTTTGTGGCTCAGGCAGGAGTGCAGTGGTGTGATTTTGGCTCACCAAAACCTCCACCTCCAGGATTCAAGCGATTCTCCTGTCTCAGCCTCCTGAGTAGCTGGGATTACAGGTGCCCGCCACCACGCCCGGCTAATTTTTGTATTTTTGGGAGAGATGGGGTTTTGATATGTTGACCAGGATGGTCCTAAACTCCTGACCTTGGTCCTCCTGCCTCAGCCTCCCAAAGTGCTGGGATGACAGGCGTGAGCTACCTCAGCTGGCCGATACAATACTTTCTAAGAACATCAGGATGGGAGCAGTGGCTCACCAGTGTAATCACAGTGCTTTGGGAAGCTGAGGTGGGAGAATTGCTTGAGCCCAGGAGTTTGAGACCGGCTTGGGCAACCTAGGGAGACCCTGTCTCTACAAAGCAAAACAAAACATAATAACTATCTGGGTGTGGTGGTGTGCACCAGTAATCCCAGCTACGTAAGAGGCTGGGTGGGAGGATTGCTTT